AATGATATCCCTCTTCCACAGCGTCTTCCGAATCCAGATTGCATTTTGTGAAGTTCACTGTTGATGGACTACTCTTGATGAGCTGGTGTGTTTTTTTTTAAATACTTTTCAGTAAGATTTTATTTGTATGTTATATTAATGATATTGTTTGATAATTTCCACTTTCTACTAGTTCGCGGTTTTTGGAATGGGAACAAATATGGATCTCTTCCAATCAATTGGTCTGGTAACTGTCTTCCAAATGTATAGGAATATGTAGTGAGTATGCTCAGATCTGCATTTGTTTATGGAAATGTGTCATTTGGTATCCTGCCAATTCATAAGGCCTTTTTTTTGCCAATTCTTCAGTGAAGTTTGATCTTCTTCCTTAATTATCACTGATTCTACATCACATGTAGCTTTCTAAAATGGTTCAGTGTTGACCAATTTTTTTTTAGAATGATTCTTTGTATTTCTTCCATCTTCTTTTTATGCTTCCTAAATTACCCAAGATTTTGCCCATAGAATACTTCTGTGTTGCAATATGAAGTCTGAATTTGTTATTCAGTTCTTTAAGCTTGAGAAAGGCTGAGTGTCTCTTCGATTTTCTAATTTAGCTCTTTATAATATTTTACACTGTTTTCTCAAGCTGTCCTTTGAAATCTTCTGGTCAGCTCTTTATTTTTTTTTACAGTATTTTTTTAAAAAATTATTTTATACTGATTTGTTTACAAAGTTTGTATACATCGTATTTCATATTATATTTCATTCACATTTTATTTCCTATAATCATTCCCATTCATTGTTGTTGTTATGTGCTGTCAATTTGCTTGGGACTCATAGCAACCCTATGTACAACAGCCCTAAACCCTGCTCTATCCTGTGCCAATCTTATTGTCTTTGTCACACCTACCACATTTATCCCAGTCACTGAATCAATCCATCTCATTGAGGGTCTTCCTATCTTGCTCTGTCCCTTCACCCTCCCAAGCATGATATCCCTCTTCAAAGACTGGTCCTGCCTTGCAATATGTCTAAAGTATGCCAGATGAAGCATCAGAACCCTTGCTTCCAAGAAGCAGCCTGGTTTCATCCTCTCTAGGGTAAAATTGTTTGTTCTCCTAGTAGCCCATGGCATATCCAACACTCTTTTCCAGCACCACAGCTCAAAGACTTCAATTCTTCTTCTATCACCCATATGATTGTCCAGCTTACTGATGCATAGCAAGTGATTGCAAAGACCATGGCCTGTATCAGGCACACCTTAGTCTCCAGATTGACATCTTTGCTCTTCAGTACTTTGGAGAGGTCTCCGACAGCAGATTTTCCTAATGTAATTCATCTTTTAATTTCCTGGCTGCTGGTACCAAGAGTGTTGATTGTGGATCCAAGCAAACTAAAGCTGTGTACAGTCTCAATCTCTTCACCATCCATCCTGATGCTGCCAGTTGGTCCAGTGGC